AAGCGGTGGAAAAGGCGGCGCTCACTAGAAAGGTGTAGTGGGATCAGGTGCCAACGAGCGGCGAGCGTAGAATGGTCCCAGATGTATGCGGCGGCGCTGCGGTCGTACGGACTGGAGGATCCGACCGGTTTCGAGCATTCTCAAGGCCTTCAGCGAAGCAGCTTTGGCTTGCGGTTTCGCCTTTTGGCGGCGGTATGGCAGCGTGAAGTAGCTCTCGTTCTGGACTGTTATTTACCCCGTGTTTGCTATCGTTTGTGGCCAATGGAGTGTCATGCCGAATTAGTGTTTAATCGCACAGCAAACACAATACGAGCCGCCCTGGCTGCTAGCTTCATACAGCCTATCCAGAACATGCTTTAGTGGCGCCCTCTCGAGCCGTGACCGCTTGCTGAGCTCACTATCTCTCGTCTAGTTCACGGCCACCCAAGCAACCAAGGACATCATGAAGGAGGTTATTTTTTGCTTGTTTTTGTAATTATAATTTGCCTATAACTTTTCAGTGCGTTCAGATTCGGTGCAAATTAAAAAGTAGTAAAAAAGTCGTTGCAGGGCCCCTTTAACATTCTTTAATGTGTTTTGGTGATGCACTCGTAGCCACCTTGTTGTGAAAGATGAAGGAATGTGTGTGGCTAGACGAGTTGAAAGACTTGCGGTTGCATCATCATGTTATTCTAGAGTTTATTCCTGACCAGTCGCAAGCTTTTGTAACTCGCAGTGCACAGTTGGCAGTCCGGTGACTGCGGGCCCACCGATTGTCACTGTGCTCGCAAGTCCTCTGACTGCCAAACTCGCTAGTAGGTTGCAGACAGCACGCGAGGCAGGTAGGCTTCATATCTGGAAGTGGTTTTGCGAAAGCAGTGTCCCTTTTTGTTTGCTTGGATGGTGCTAGCACATTATCTGTAGAGACTGCATATGTAAAAGCCAAATTTGATTATATCGCAATTTTCTCCGGGCTATTTTTAAGTTCTGCCACAGATTCTAACATTTTGCACGCACACAAATAAAGTACTTACTTTAATATCTGTTGCACAAAATTAATTTTAATTTATTGTTCAGTAAGTTGTATTCACGCTCGAATAATTTTCCACACCTTGTCGAACATGGTTACTATTGTGATCAATCCTTGGAAAACAATCGTTACACGTATTGACTTCAAAAATATTCTGATAATGTCACTTTGAATTGTACTCTGCACTCTGAATGCTGTAATTATTCAGCTGTTTAAGCCTGCCAGACAAGCACGCAAGGAGTTAATTTTAGCTTTTTTCCGTGTCTATGAGTAAAGCCTCCACACAAATAAAGCCGTATTCAAAAAGCGATAGCTGCACACTTTTCATTAATAGCAATGTTGACTATCTGTAGTGTATCAGGCTCACTTCTAAATCTTTGCGTGAAACGGACCTCACCATGCCGAAAGGGCAGTCGCAGTCCTGACTATAAGTCAGCGCAGGCTGACTTATAGTCAGGACAGCATGACAGAACAAGACAAATACAGTTTCTTCACTAATTCGGGTTATCAAACCACCCTCCGTATGATTTTACACAACCAAATGCAAATCTATTGGGATTAGTATTGCAACATTTAAATGTGCACAGTCTGGCTTGATCGATGCGGTAACCTTAAAGGTGGTGTTTGGGGCTAGTTGCCTTTCCGTGCGACAGATGGTGCTCTCCTATTTAAAGGGTCTGGCCCTGGTGGTCTAATTCCTAACCCTACAGTTGGACACAGCACGTCTCTGGTCTAACATGTGCAAGCTTCATTAATGCATTCAGCGCTTGCTCATCTTTAAAACTGCTCTTCACTTCAATTTAATTATTCACTCAGCTTGTATTTCTCTAAGACGTTCTGTTATGACATATTGGGTGAAGTCTACTATTCGGCTTATTTTAGCCGATTTCGGTAGTTTTCAGAGTACAGCCAGACCCTAAAAATTAGAAGTCCTGCAAAAGGTGTTTGTTAAATGAGTGTATGTATAAATCGATGGTAAGGTACAAAAGAGAGTTCCCGTATGTTTTTCTAGTCTTCTTAGACATATTTTATTACCAAGTAAACTTAATGAGACAGTTGAAATTGTGGTAAAATACCAAACAAGCGCCCACTGAAATATGGGGCTCTGTACACAGCCGTAGAAGTCATAACCTTCATGCTCATAAAAATATGTTGGTTCAGATTAATGTTCGCAACATTATAAAGCAGTGGTTCTCAACCATTGATGTTTCGCAGACCCCTTGTGGATAGGCGGAGATGATGGAGGACCCTGTTTATGGGGAGGGGAAGGGAAAGGTATAGGTTAATTATGATAATGACTTAATAAATGGATATAAATAAGGGATAGTGTGAAGTAGACCTCTCTTAATCACATACATACACATGGCACGAAAATTAAAACTTCTCTTCTCAATCTAAAAAAAAATAAGGTCCGCGAGGACCCCCATTTGAGAACCACTGTTATAGAGAAAAGGGGCAAATAGAGGTAGCTGCTTGAGTTGACTGAGACAAGAGTGGAAATGAAGCAACAGGATAGAGATGAATAAGAAAAACCACTAAGAACCCGGAGATGGCCTCTTTTGGATTGGTGTGAATAATGATTCTAGTGTTATTTTGATAAGAAAATTTTGCTTGGGATTCCATTATGATGCACTAAGCAATATCAGTAGCTAGTTTTGGTTCAGTGGCTCATTTCAGGAAGTTCAGCAGCCGGCTTCCAAAGATAATTTTTCATGCGTTTCAAGGTTATTCAGCTATGTGCAGTGATGTGATTGCTGCGCCAATTGCGCCAAACTGCGCCAAGGGGCTCACCCTGCTACATCCTGCTACATTTTGCCAAAATACAGGTAATCTGCGCCAAGCCTGCGCCGAAGGAGCAATTTCGGTCGCCTTTCAAAACCGAAACTAAACTGAGAACCGTAATTGCGCATGCGTCAGCTAAGTGGCATAAGCGGCCGCCCGACACAAAGTACCCTGCATCAATCGTCCATCCGGTCTTGCATATTTTTTCCCGCCGTCTTAACCTCCTTGCCGCCGTCTCTCGTTTCGTGCCCTCATGCCCAACGTTGCTCCTGCCCTCGTCCCTCGTCGTCTGGAAAATCTCGTCTCGCGTCTTTTTTTAATTTTTTTGATCGATAGACGCGGGCGCGGGCGGGTGCCGCGACGCTAGTGTGCCGGGTGCCAGCAATGCCGTCATGCTGTGAAACAAAACCATGTTTTTGGGCGACGAGAGTTACTTTGTGAGCTGAAGCGCTGGCGCGACCACAGTCACCGTGGTCGCGCGACGTCGAGTGCTGCCGTCCCCACGTCGCTGCAGATATGGCGCTTTCTAAACTTGTTCTTCGACATTCCTAGCCTTCTTTAAATCATACTCTACTACAAAAAGCCCTCTAACTCAAAGACTGCTTGTCGAAATACTGATTACCTAGGTTCCTCTCGGTGGACTTCCATCCAAGAGGGAGCCCGGTACGTGAAAAATTTGCCGCGAAAGAAAGTTGGTGAAGAGAAGTGAGCTAAAGCAAAGAAGGCAATGTCTGCACGTTGAACCCGCACAGCGCGCTTATTTGCCTCGAGTTTGGTCGTTGCACAAAAGCGCTCCAAAAACGTTTTGACCCTGGCTCGCGATGTCATGCATCGATGCACTTAGGTTATTTTTTTCTGTGTGTTTAGCTTGTACATCGCCTGCCGCCCTGGCAAGCACAGGCCGCTCGACTGCTTTTTTGTTTGTATGCTGGACAGTTACACTTTGCACTTTATTTTGGGAACCAGTTGGCGACGGAGGAGAGTGGCATTGTTTCGGTTTCGATTGAACAGCCATTGTCTCCGCTCGCACTACGAAGCTTGTGCTACTTCAAGCCTGCTGAAGTTGCCCTCACGTGCATGTGAACATGACTGCATGGCAAAGGCGCCAGCCAGGACGCTTGCCATTCATTGTTTTGCGTTTGCTTACTTTGGACGAAAATCTGGCACGTCGGGAACCAGTTAAAACGGTGACAAGTGTTCTTTTCGGAATGGCTCGGCAACGCCTATAACACTGTACACTTGTGGGATGTCTCAGCAGTAAAACACAAACAGCGAGTTCTGTCACAATATATCACAAAGTTGCCTTCGTTTGTCCAACAATTAAAACAAATACTTAATTTTTCTAAGAATATCTGCTCCAAAAGCCACTTTTGCTGCTCCGAAACACTGTTTAGGCTGCTCCAAAAGCCTCCTTTGCTGCCCCAAAACACTGTTCTGGCTGCTCCAAAGGCCACTTTTGCTGCTCCAAAACACTGTTTTGGCTGCTACAAAAGGTGCTCCAAAATGGCTTAGGCCAATCACATCACTGTATGTGTGAAGTTGCTTGTGTGTCGATTCCTATCTTAAATGTACCATATTGGGCCATTCTCTCGTGCTGTCTTACAAGCATCGCTCATTGTAATGAAGCAAACACGCTGTTTTATTGTACTGCTTTTCGAATTGTTAATTTAGCAGGAATAATAAAGTTGTATTGTTCTCTTCAGAAGAGAAACTCATTACCCTATTTGAGTGGATGGTGCATGAGATATGGTTTATGCATAACTTTCAATTGCTCTTTTGGGGTTTGGGCGTAATTATCATTCCACAAATAGCTGCGTTTTCCCCCCCTTTTTTAAAAAAATATTGCTTTGCGCATTTTCAGCCATTTGGTAGTGATATACATTTTTACCTTCTTGAATCAGCTAGATGCAACAAGAAGTAATTGTAATTGTGACCAAAGATGCTGCTAATAATCAAATGCTTGACCGAATAAACTAATAACACATAGATTGAGTAATTGAACTTGGTTTTTAACCCTGGAGGGTGTGTCCAAATGTCAGCACTGTGGTTTCAATGAAATGAAAATTTGTGTTACGCATCAAAATCATGCCTGCTTGGTGGTGTTCTCGACAGCAAATTTTATGCGTTCAAGCAGAGCACAACCGTTTGCATGCTTGTCTTTGTACGTTCAACCTTCTTGACAGTATTAATGGATGATTGTTATGTGCAGGTGAGCGACGACGAAAGGCGTCTTCCCGCAAGTGCACCCGCGAAGAGGAACTTGGCAAGAAAAGTCCCCCGAGGGCAGAGACTGCCCCCTTAGCTGCGCCCCAAGAGCAGCAGCCTGCAGTCGGCGCGGAGGAGCCCAGGCGGGGCAGCGACGAATGTCCCCTGAGTAGCCCGCAGCGCAGCCCCCAAGAGGCGAGCGAGCGTTCCGATGACGGTGGCCGGGAAGGCCCCCCACGGCCCCCCGCTGGCACGCCGCCGACGATGCGCAGTAGTGCGGGTCCCGTAAGTGCCAAGCCAAGTACCCGTGCGGAGGACGTGCGCGTGTACCGCGACCCGAGCTTGGTGAGCAGCGTAAGCCACTTGGACTCGGTGCAGCACTCTCGCCTGATGCAGCAGCAGCCGCCGCCGGGCCTGTACCCGCCCCGGGGCGGAGGGGCAGAGGGTGCGCGGCCGGGGCAGCCCGGCAGCCACCTCATGGCGTACGGGCTGCAGTCGGGCTCGCCCGTGGTGACACCGCCCCACGTGGACCCCATGAGTAACCCCCTGGCCTACCAGCAGCTGCTCATGTCGGCCGCCAGCAGTCAGGGCCAGTACCTGGACGTGCTGTGGAGCCAGAAGATGGCAGCCATGCCCCCGTCCAACAGCCAGGCCTGGGCCATGGCCCAGTTTCAGGAGGACTTCCGCCTCAACCGGGAGAGGCATTCCATCATGGAGAGGTAGGTGTGCTCCGAGCAAGGGCTTACTTCACAGGGGCTCCTTCTGCAGCCACTCATGTTCAGTCCCAGGATAAAGTTTTGCTGTTTTCTTCATCCAAATACATGTTTTTTCAACAAATTCCCAAAAGGCCACACACAAATGAACGCTGTGCGTTCCTTGCCTCCGCAGCATCAACCATGTGACACCAAAAAAGCAGTGAGAGAGGGGGTAGCCCAGCTGCTTGCCTGCTTGTCACCCATAGCCTCCAAGCTGCCCCTACCCCCGTTCCTCCCTCCCTCGTCTGCTAGAGCCGGTTCTGTACAGGCCGTTGCTGGTAGTCCTTTTGTGCCGCAGACAGCACTGGGTGCTTTGCAAAATGTTTATTGTGGTCACTTGTGCCTGACTTTCATGCCATGCATGTTCTAAAGAAGGCCCCCTCTTTTGTGCAAACTTAAACTTGATCTGTTTCGGAATGTAGGAATTCATGGAATTCTATTCCTCTTCACATGTTTTTGACGGGTAATGTAAAACTTTTCTTTTGTCCCCAAGTTCGTATCTAAAAAGCGCTGTGAATCTACTGAGCATATCGAATTGTGTTACTTTTACAAAGTTATTTTCTGGGAAGGCACCTGAACTAGCAGTTAGTTTCTTATTTATTGGTGTACCAGCTGAAGGCTAGCTATTCTGCGATTCTGCCTCTGAGCTCTTTTTTAGAGTGCAGCTCTTAGGCGCCCGTTTCCTGGCTTGAGGAATTCGTCAGTCTGGTTTAAAGAGGGGCAAAAAAACTTGACGTCTGAATACACCCTCCTGCAAATGCGGGCAACTAGCGCGCTCAATATCTTAACTCATTATCTTTTATTTTTACCTTTTCAATTTGTCTTCTTTTTACTCGAATAAATAAACCCAAATATTTTTAATTTCGGAAACGTCTTGCTATAAGTGCCAATGAAGTCGCAGGTTTACCCTGGTCAGCCGGGCATACAACTGTCGTGAATAGCAGTGTAACAAGCTTGGTGGCTTAAACATTTCCACTTCATCGTGAATATAGATATAAAGATTCACACCCTTGTACTTAATTTTCTGCTGCTTTCTGTTAAAAAGAATGTAGTGCAGTGATTAGAAGTGTTTATCCCACTTTTGGGGATAAAGTTAAGTTGTCATTTTCAAAGGGAGGATTATTGGTTTAATTTTTAAAAAGGACGAGCAACCCGGGTATTGTTTTATTCAATAGTATACTCAAACTTGAGCCCAATACCCAAATAGAGCACAAAAAAATATATCTAATCCCGAGAGATGCCCCACCCCCGAAAGATAGCTCCCCCCCCCCTATTTTTGACACGATTTGCTATTTCTTTAAAAACACCGAAAGATAGCTCACTTACAGTAATTGCAGGGCCCTCGACAATGGTGACCTCAGCAGAAATGGTGTTACTTAGCCATGGCAGGAGTTAAGCGAAAATTGCTGACTGGGGAGGTTCCATCGCCCCTCCCCGCGATTACAAGTTTCGCAGGTCACAAAATCTAAAACTAACATTTTTTCAGCTCTTGGTGCTCGCACACCGAAAGTTAGCGCACTCCTTGTTTTCAACCGATTTGCTTTCAATTATAGGTGGGCCATCTCTTGGGATATCACGGCAGTCATAAAATACACTGAATCAAAAGATAATCTCGTCTGTGTCATTGTGCAAAAATGCCGGCATGGAAGGTACACTTTGCAGCGCTGTAACTTTGAAGGAAACAAAATGATGCAACATGTTTCTCATGAATATACTCAAGACTATAATCAAGAACTATCACAAAAAAAAAAAAAAATTCAGAAAAATTGAAGAGGATTTTTTTTTTATCCCCTTGAAATTTCTCCATTTTGTAATTTAGAAGAAGTTTTTAGTGACATAAAAAATTTAAATTTAAAGATAAAGCAATTATTTATATAAACAATTTTTGAATAACAATATATGACAAAGTTCGATGTTGTAGCTATTAAATGTTTGTAGATAACAGCTCAGAAATCTGGTGACAAAACGTGAAGGGAGCCATGTTTTCACATATTTGATGCGAAATATATGACCTCTGCAATGCTGTACATATATCGCTCAGTAGTTCCCATGATCTACTATAGGTGCAAAATATTAAAGTTCTGATATTTGTAGTTTGCGTAGTAGGTGTCACCAAACATGACATAAACGAAAACTTCAAAAATCAAATATGCTGTTCTGGCACACACAAAATTTATTCTCTTTAAATATTATGTATTCTGGAAATCTTTTGATTACGTTCCCTATAGATGTTGAGAAGTAACATATAAAAAAAAATTAACAAAAAATATGTCCGGACTCGCGTGCTTGATCTTATCTGAACAGAGCCTAAAGCGGCTTACGAATCAGCCAGGGTGGCTTTCTTCATTTGCATGGCTTCAATCGGTGGCACGTGTCGAGTGCATTGCTTTGTGAGCGGAGATTTTTGTAGTCGGTAAATTTGACCTGTGTTTAAATGGGCTTTGGTTTCCCCTCCAGGGAGCGGAGAGAGGAGGAGGAGAAGCGGGAGAAAAGCGAGTTACTGGAGCGCGAGAAGGCTGAAAAAGAGCGGCAGGAGCGACACAAGAAGGAAGAGCAGGAACGTGTCCAGCGAGAAGCCGTGCAGCAGCACTTTGAGGAGTCCCTGCGTTTGGCTAGTCAAAAGGTGAGCCTTCCCTCGGGGGGTGCACCCCTTTCAAGGGGAGGGGGGAGCACAGCAGGACATCTTGACTCTGTTGCTCGAGAAGGGACTTTAAGTGCCAAGTGTGAACGAGGTCCTTGTTGGTTTCGGCACTCACGGTTCTTTGACTGTGTACCCACTAGGTCTGTCTAGTAATTCTCTCAATTTGGGCAAAAGGTAGCGTGACAGGCATTTTGGCAAGGTGTGCTCTCGGCTTGGGTGACTGAGTGTTGTTGTTTTATGCCTTCCAGACATATGGCAGAATGATGTCTGTGGCTCAAAATCCGCATCAAAACCTTCTAGATTCTCCCAAGACAGGTTGCATCGTACGTGATATTATCTATCTCCTCTTGCCCCAGTGAACAATCAGTTTGACCGAGAAAGTAGCGGAACCCCGGTGAATGTGCGCTGTTTCGGCTGTTTTGGTGGTAATGTTAGGACCAGTGGAGGTGAGGATGCTGCTGGGGCTGTAACCTCTGTGTCTTTTCTCTGGTGCTCTTTCAGAGGGCAGGCTGGAGCCCCATTGCCAGCTTACCCTATTCCAAGGCTGCTGTCAACACTTCGAGCAGCTCAGTCATCACCCAGTCTGAAAAGCAGCGGGAAAAACAGGAGCTGGATCATCATCATGAAAAGTAACTACACTTACTTGTGGCTCATTAGAACCGTCCAAGTCGGGATGATTTCCATTGGCGTCTGTGCAGCCTTAATATCTGGATAGGAGTGTTGCTGGCATAGTCTAATAAAGGGGCCTTTTTGTCTGCAGGTATTCCGTGGAAGCCCGCATGAGACAGGCGACGGACCAGGAGAGGTGGATGTCAATGGTTCAGCAGCAGCAGCAAAGGTTGGACCTGCAAGGGCAGGTCCCAGCCCATCATCGGTTGTCGCATGCTGAGGTGAGGAAACACCGAAGCGGGGGCAGCAGACGTTTTCCAAAAATCCCAAAAGACTTCTCGTTAAGGGGTATTGTGGGGCTGTAACGATGTACGCTTATGCCGACTCTAACGCTTCACATCTCCTGGAAGCGGCACAATTCATTTCCTCTTACTATCAGGAGCTCAGAATGCACAAAATAAAATAAAGCATGCAGAAAAGGGAGCCATCAAATACAGTGGAATCTCGTTAATTTGAGCCCGAGGTGGACAAAACTTTTTTTCAATAATGCAGAGTTTGAATTACTGGGAGTTCCTATACAGTCGCTGTCCGATTTTTCGGACGTTTTTACCGAACTGTCACAGTTAATGTATAACATTTACAAATTTCGGACACCATAAAGCCCATCGCTCGATATTTGACGTAATTTGCGATATTGCCTTAGTTCACACCCACAAAACAGCCGCCGCGAGCTTAGTCGCCGACATTTTGGTTGTTTTGATTTTGCCATGTAGCCTCGATACCACATCCTATGCAATAAACAAGCGGGATTGAGGCTAGAGAACAGTTCCGCTGTAGCCAACGTGGCCGCCGTCTGCCCATTATGGTTCTTCTAGTTGTTCTTGTGGTCCGCGTTTTTTTTTTTTTCGGTTGTGACCGCGAGAAGAGCGGCCGTTTGCTGTTCTTGTGGTCTTTGAGTGCGAAGGTTTTTCGCAGATAGGCTTAGTATTGAAGCAAGCTTAATGGACTAAACATTGTCTCCAAATGGCACCAACTTCAACTTCGCTGTTTGGGCCAATGAAGTCGCCGACAAAGCGCAGCACCATGATCAAACAGATAAACAAACAAGTGAAAAGTGGACAATACAAAACGGGAGTTGCACGAGAACTTAAAGGGAAGCTACGGAGCTTCTTGGAAAAAATGAGTTAGAAGTGAATTCTAGTGTATTTTTACCCCGTGAACCCGAATACCCAAACCATTTGCTGCGTAAGTATTGTTAAACGCGAGAAAAACGCGAAAGACAGTCGCTGTCCATGACGTCATCGACGGCTCTTTTGGCTGCCCAAGGCTAGGGGGGCGGGGCTTCAGCCCTTTTTTGAAATTGCTCTTGTGGCTCTCCGGCGCGTCGCATTGAAATATAATTTTGATATCTGTTATTCTAAAGGCCAAATGAACGCAATTCAAGCATTTTTTCTCAAATGTAGAAGTGCCCCATCTTCCCTTTAAACTTGACATCAAGCAAGTAGAAAGTTGCCAATATGCATGGAAATCTGATAATTTGGTTGAAATAGATTTTTCGGACCACTTGATTGCAGTGTAGACCGCACATAACGTATGTCGCGGGAGTCACGAAAATCCGCACTATAACCAAAACACCAATTTTTCGGGCCAAAATACATGCCATGAGACAACTTACCTTTGTAAAACAATTTATTTTATGTTAGATGAAAAATAAAGCTTAGTTAGTGGAAAGTCTTTATTTCACCAGACTAGTACACTTGTCTCTCAAGAGTGTCACACATTTTGAAAGAAATGAGCGACTTTTGTCTGGCGCAGCCTTTTAACGGCGTCGCGGGTTGCGGACGGACGTTGCGAGCATTCAGGATTGCTAACCCTAATCACTTTTCTCCGGTGATGAAAACGCGTGAAAATTCATATCCTTTATACAGTACGCGCCAGTAATACCTTCAACTTGAGCACTGGCATGAAATGCTCCAAATAAGAAATCCGGGCGATGTTCGAAAACACAAATGCTTAAAAAGCACTACTGTAGTCGAAGTAAACAAACACGACGACACGGGCGTTTCTGCCGTCTTGAGAGTGCTGCCACGACATCGCCGCACGAGTCGGTGGATCTTCCCTTCTAGTACGTGCTGGGTTATCATAGCGACACACAACGAAAATTCACAGTCAAGGATAGCGCTTTTACGCGGAACGATGAGCTTCCACCACGCCGTCTACGTCGACCATCACAACCGACGCCATGTTCGCGGATAGAAGCCGGCCCGCGACCGGCATGCTACGCGTGCGAACACTTCTCAGCGGAGGGACGCACGCACGTGAGCGACACGTGCGTGCTTCCCTTCGTCGCTTTGGCAACTGAAGCCTCTCTTTTTGCTTCTCCCCACTTTCTGGCGCTTCTTCGAGCAACCTCCTTGCCCCTCAAGTGCCGCTTGCGGCTAGCGCCGTTATCTAGTGTCGCACAGGGAAGCGTGCTCGCTGGGCCGATCGGTCGGCGCGGTCGGCGGGCTGTTCCAGAAATCGCACTATAACCGGTATTTCCCTTCGCGTGCCTGCATTTTAAGCGGTATGTAATTACATGGAGTTCTATGGGAGGCAAATCGGTGGTTTAAAAAAGCCGCGTTATACCCGGTCCTGCACTATAAGCGGTTACGTTGTAAGTGGTCTATACTGTATTCAGACGATTTCGGGGTCCCCTCAGAGTCCATAAAATCGGTCGGCGACTCTACTCCGTGTCACTAGTTGTGTGCAGGGGAGGTGAAGGCAATGCCATGCGAAGAGAGAAAGGGTGAGCACTAGGAAGGCGGGATGAGAGAGGAGGGGGAGGGGAGAAAGGGAGAGCACTAGGAATGTTAGAGAGGAGAGGAGGTTTCTTCCTCCCCAACCTTTTTAGTGCTTGCCCTTTCTCTCCTCGCCTGGTGCTGTACTGCAACGCTACTAGTGACACTGAGTGTAGAAACACACAAGACGGGACCTGCATGTTAGTTTGAATTATCCACGAGTGTGAATTAAGAGAGTGTGTATTAACGAGATTCCACTGTACTTCGTTTTGCTCTCCTACTACCTTCTGTGTGTATTGCAATCACAAAATGTTAAACCATCGTCAACTTCGTCTCGAGTTTCTCGATAATATCTGGTGCCATATATTGGAACATCGCAATGCGTCAAGCAGACTGGGGGCGCCACATATTTCGTATATCGGGTGGAGGGTGACTGGCACCCTTGATCGTTGCAGCAGCCAAAGCTGGAGATCCTTGCCCGCTCTTCGCCAAAGACCAACCATATGCTGGCTGGCTCAAACTTGCCATCCAAGGTGGGCAGCCCTGCCGTGCCGTCAACTTGTTCGGTCACTGTGGCCAGCTCGAAGGGTGAACCCAGCTTCAACCTCTACGGCTACCAGCCTTCACAGCCCATGTACATAACCCAAGCCCAGCTCAAAGCGCGAGAGGAATCCAAGTCACATCATAGGTAACTGTCTTTTGGGACCTTTACGAGTGCCCTCTTTCTGACACCTTGGTTGCTTACTTTCAGTCAATCCAGTGGGAACCGCCAGCCCCTTGTTTCCTCCCCCTTGCCAAGGATGGAGAAGGACGTGCGCTACGACCGTTCCTCCACGCCAGGTGGGCAGAGGGGAAGTCCCAAGCCCCCCGTCAAGGACCGGATCAGTCCGGCCATGTCAACCCCAGGGACTTTTCGGCCGTACGAGTACAACTCAGCAGGCCCCGCCCCCGCGCACCAGGGCTCCCTGTCGAGGAGTTCATCCAGTTTTCCCCAAGAAGAACCCCAGAACCTGGTCAAGTGCTCGCGATCCAGGCAGGACTCTCCTCTCAGCACCCCGTCACCTGGTTCGGCTAGCAGTTATGGCAGCCAGTCAACAAAATCATCTCAACCTTACACCAACCAGTTAATTCTGCAGGGCCTGGTGCCGAACCCCATCTACACGCCCCAGACAACGCAGGCTTCGAAGCTGCTTCCCCCCGGCATGTCACCTGGGCCCAGCCAACCTCAGGGTTCAGTGCAGTACCTGAGAAGTATCCAAGGCATTACGACCGGCACGCCAGTGTGTCGGCCGGCACAGCATCCGGACCCCAAGCTGGCGTTCAGCTCGTCCCTGCAGAGCCCATACCGGCCTCTGCCCCAGTCGCGCTCGCCCTCGACACACCTCACGGCCAGTTCCACGCCTCCGCGACTGACTCCTCCCTCGCCGCAGCCGCTCAACCTCCAGCAGGGGGGCCTGTCTCCTAGTGGGGTCAGGCGGAAGAGCAGCAAGGAGGCCCAAGTCCTCAAGCTTCCCAAGACGGAGGGAAGCCCTTCACCCATTCCGTGTTCAGTGCCTGGCCTGATTTCGACGCCGCCAGCTGGTACGGTTGCTCCAGAAGGCACAGCTCCCTTGATTACAAGTGCAGCGACAACTCCTGTTTTATTAATGGCAACAAAGACTCCTACCCAGCAAGACACCTTCCGGCCGTTTGCCGCTGCACAGCAACAACAGCAGCAGCAGCAGCAGCAGCAGCAACTACCGCAGCCATCATCACAGCCTCAGCAACAATCTGCTCAGCAACAACAGCAACCTTTGCAGCAGTCGACGAGTCAGGATAGCTATCAGACATTCTACAAAAAGGGGAGGACTAAGGCGAGGCCTCCCAATGCTCCTTCTCCTGCTTCGGGCGAAGACAGCAAACCTGGAAGCCTTGGTGGCTCCTCCTCCATAGTCCACGAGTCCGACTCTGACACGCGTGTGACCCCAAGCCCAGCCCCTAGCACGTGCACCACTATCAGCAACAGTAGCAGCAACCATACGAAGCTAAAGAAGGCCTGGCTTCAGCGTCACTCTGAGATTGAAGACAAGAAGGCCCCGGAAGGAGAGGTACGCACAGAAACCAGCAGTGCTAACGTATCTCCTGTCAAACTGGAACCAGTGTCTGTTAAGGTCCCAGTGAATGGACATGACACAGAGGCAAGTGGCTCGGTTAGGGATGATTGCAGTTCTAGTTCAGCATCGGAGGCGGAGAAACCAGCTGTGAGTCGCAAGACGCGGGTCTCTCGTAAGCGGGGTGCCGCAGGGAGAGACAAGGCCGGACCGAAGCGGCAACGAGCAAATAGTGAGAGCAATAGCGATGCTGCACCAGAAGAGGCATCTCCGAAAAAGGAAGAAAAGCAGGAGACCATTTCACGTCGCCGGGGCAGGAGACCCAAGGGCACGAAGCAGGAACCTGCAGAGGAGGTGGCTGCAGTCCCTCGGAAAAAGCAAGGTCAGTATTTACTTTGCGATGGATGTTGTGGATTGAATGTGAAATGCTGGTCTTTGAGGTTTATAATTATTGGTCTCTCGCAGCACGATCGGCAGAGAAACCTACCATAGCCCAGCTGAAGAAGTCTGGAAAGCCTTTCCTACAGGATGGTTCCTGCTATGACGTGGCACCCAAGCTCCCCAAGTGTAGGGAGTGTAGAATGACACCTAATCAAAGAAATAAGAAGATGCCAAATATATTCTGCCGTTTCTACGCTTTCAGGAAGTATGTGTGTGTTTGAAACTTGCTCCAGACTGGGTGGTTAACCATTTTGTTTTTCTTGCAGACTACGTTACGGGAAGAATGGCACGGTGCTGAGTGGTGGTTTTTCGGAGCCAAGCGACGCATCCGAAGACGACCTGAAGTTGTGGTTGCCTCCGTTGGAACACACTCCCAAGGACTTGGACGTTACCACTGCTAAAATCATTTTGTCCCACGTGGGCGACCAGTTTTGTGATCTGGTGGAGCAAGAGCGCGAAGCGCAGTCTCTACACATGGGTGATGACAAGACTGTCTCGTGGAAGCGAGTAGTGCAGGGTGTGCGTGAAATGTGTGATGTTTGTGAAACAACTCTCTTCAACATTCATTGGGTATGCCACAAGTGTGGCTTTGTGGTGTGTATAGACTGTTACAAGGCTAAGAAGAATGGCACTTTGAAAGGTGAGTTGTCAGAATTGAGCGACTTGGGTCGGTGCTTGATGCTGCATTTCTTTTTCAGCTGAGGAGACGCCCCCGAAGGACAGGGATGAGTTTCAGTGGCTTTTGTGTGCCAACCGGCAGCCACACGAACAGGACAAACTTATGATGACCCAGATAATTGCGGGCAGTGCGCTCTGGGACGTCGGCCAGGACCTGCATCGGATCCGACATGAGTGGAACATTCCAGCCTACTGCGGCTGCGGCACGTGCAGCCTCGAAGACGACTGCAAGAAGAACCCCTCTTCCAACGGAGTCTGCAAGGTAAGGCGCCGTCGTTGAACTCCATTGGTGGGGGGGGCCTAACTGGTGTCCTGTTGCAGCAACTGATGAGTGCCGTCAGCAAATGCTTCTCTTCGGACAAGGAGGGCAGCACACTGAACGGAGAAACTGCTCGAACAGGCAAGCGCAAGAAAAACCCTGTGAACGGGGTGAACAACAGCTCGTCGGATGAAGTGGGCGGCAGCTACAGCTCGGACAGTGGAGGCTCTCCGCTCTCTGTGCTAGCAGACGTGGCCCTCAACTCGTCTGGCAAGATGGAGGGTGGCGGCAAGGGTGCTGAGGAAGAGGACGAGAAGGGTGACGATTTCTCAACGCTGCGCGAGCTGCTGATTCGTCCCACTGGCGGTAACAGCAAGAAGAGCAGCGTGGAGGAGGTGGTCACGACAGTGATAGCCCAGACTGTGGCTAAGAAGGAGGAGGAGCAACAGCTTTTGCACTTCTGCCGCCGGTTCCCCAATTCCCAGGCGGGTCGGGACGCCCTGCCTGTGCGTGTGTGCACGCTAGCCGAGAGTTCGCTGCTCTACCCCAAGGTTCCCCACTCGTGGCTCTGCAACGGCAAGCTGCTGGTGCTACACGAACCCCGCAACAAGAACAACTTGCTCGTCTTCCAAGAGCAGTGGAAGAGGGGCCAGGTCAGTGTACTCTGCATTCTTAATGCCACTGAAGCTCACTGGGTATAGGGCTATTTCAGGTCCAGATTTGATGCTTTTGGTGAGAGGTCGGGGCTCGTTGCTTGCTTGCCTGAACGAAATGCCTTGGGAAGACGAGTAAGCCTCCCTTGGCGGCTACATCCCTTTTCGGAACGCCACACCTGCTTTCTGAATTAATGCTAAACGTCTCGACTCATGAGCAAAGGCTTGTGTGTCCAATAGCTAGGATCCCGTGTTTTTAAAGTTTATTTTTCGTGAAATTAAGAGCGTGTTTTTCGGAGTTCATTTTTTGCCGAATATTTGGAGTTTATGGGAGTTTATTTTTGATTTGGTTCCCGATTCTCTGAAATTCGGAGTTTAATTTCGCAATGTATCTATTAAAATAAAAGAATAAATAATATCTGGGTGTAAACTAGGTATGCTAGATAAAAAAAATATATAAAACCCGCTTGTATGAATTAATATTTTTTCAGCTGGATTTGTCATTGGTGCCATGGCCATTGGCAGTACCAAATTTGTCTCGCGACAAAAGTTGCACACAAGTGTTGCTTCAGTAAATGGCAATACCTTAAAATCAATAAACTCCTGGAGGATAGTCGCTGGGACGCGCCTATTTACGCCTTCCTATTCCATCGACCTACCCTGGGGCCGCACGAGGTGGAGTGGTAATGGGCGTAATGAAATGGTGAAGAGGGGTAACTGCCCCTCTTCCCCATTTCATGCAATCTCTATGGTCTATTACTTTTACTGTTACAAAAACATAACCTCTCCTTCCTCTAAAACACAAATAGTATGGCCCAAACTGGGAACCAACACAGTGGCTTTTGTCATGACCCTTAAGTACAATGACCGGTTGTCCTGAGTGAACCTTGACGAGATAAGCGGTAAGACCACTTTTGACAATGGTCAGAGATTTGAAAGATAACTGCGGTGGCACTTTCCCAGAACCATTGACCCTGTGTGCTGATCAACTTTAAATAGAAGGGGGGGAAAAAATTCGCGAAATTTTGAGTTTAGCAGATGAATGTGAATCGACCAAAATTTTACTGGCAGGTGTCGCTGCGGAGGGTGCAGGCGGTGGATAATATTCTTTACGTTGATGCGCACTTCGTCGAGGATGGTGGCACGCTTTTGTTTTAAGGAGATTGTCTTCTTCCCCGTCAAGGTGCCGGCGGTGCCTTGTTTTGCCATTGTTGGTTGAGTGGTGTTAAGTCGCCGAATCGGTGCTTGTATGAAGCTAGATTTTCGCGCCGAGAGCGACCACACTGACTAGCGACGCCGACACAGAACACGAAGCAGACAAAGCGCGCACGGCACCGAATTTGTGCTTAAGTTTGTGTTTCCTCGGTATTCGCGTCTCCAGCTCATTGCTCGCCTTCCCTCAGCGGAAACTGGAAGTGCTCTAGTGAGGGTCCCCTGGCTCTTTAACGGGTACGGCAGAACTGCTTGCGACCATGGCTCGTAATATATCATTCCCGGATGCAGATAACACCCTTCACTGTCCCAACGTCGTGCTCTAGCCGGTATGGGATTGTACCTTATTAGAGAGTTTTAGTATTGCGTATAGAAGCAAATGCAAGCACTGTATGTTTACATTAGAGTTATGTGCTCCACGCTGTGCATATGCGTCGTCGCCATGCTCCAATCTAAGACCGCAATTTCGGCCTCCACAAACGTGCAGTGTAGAACACGCAATGCTAACGCAAAGACTGCTTGCGTTCACTCGTATACGCAATACTAAAACTCGCTACTGTTCCACTGGTTTCCAACGCCAGTGAAAAGTGCTCCAGTGAGCAGACGTGCAAGCAGGTAGGCATTCCTTCGAACTGGAAAGGCTGGAATTGGAAAAATGACGCCGCATAAAAAGGAAAGAAATTAAATGTCCTAAAAAACTTGGTAACTAAAGAAAAAAAAATTAGGTATGTTTTTTTTGGGGGGGGGGGGGGGGGGGGGGGGGGCATTTGCTCCGCACCCCAGATACGGAACGGGGAGCAGACGACGATGCAGAGGCTGCCACTGGTAGCCTTTGCAGCACGTCTGCGGCTCGTTCTGGGTGGCTGCTCGGCCGCGGCAGTAAAGTGCGACAGTTTGTGACTCGGTAGACTCAGGATTTGATTTTTTTTTTTTTTTTAATTATCAGAAAATTTTGCTTTGCTATATCCGCAGGAACCGCTGAATTTCCTTCACTAAAAACACAAACACATTGAAAAAGTGCAAACGGGAATGGGAAATCGTGATCGCTTCGCTCTAACTGCTATTTCCTTAGTACCGACTTTGTTAATAGCGGTTGCAAGAGTAGTGTGAAATTTTTCAATCGCTGCACTGGAGAAAAGTTGAAGGAACTTGAAATTAGAAACACTGGAATCGATTGTGTGTCTAGGTGTCGTTTATTTTCCTGCAAAGGGTGGTTGAATGCATGCTCATGGTGCTTACTGGTTGGTGCAGCCTGTGCTGGTGACGGACGTCTGCAAGAGCCTCAACATGTCGCTGTGGCATCCCGACGGTTTCTGCCGAGACTTCGGCGACATACGGAATGACCTTGTGAACTGCCGCACGGGCAACATCCTACCAAACCAGCCCATGCGCAAGTTCTGGGAGGGCTTTGAAAACTTCAGCAAGCGCATGAAGGACGACGATGGGGAGTACATGCTCTTGAAGCTCAAGGACTGGCCGCCTGGCGACGATTTCAGCGACATGCTTCCCAGCCGATTCAGTGATCTCATGAAGGTGCTACCTCTACCAGAGTACACCCACAGGGACGGCGTGTTCAACCTGGCTGGACGGCTGCCCGAGTGTTTCGTCAGGCCGGACCTGGGGCCAAAGATGTACAATGCCTATGGTATGTTGCACCCTTTTCTTCCGTCTGTCGGCTCCTTACCTGTATCCGGTTGCCTTTTCAGGATCGGCTCTCTACCCTACCAAGGGCACCACCAACCTTCATTTGGACGTCAGCGATGCTGTGAACGTGATGGTGTATGTGGGCATTCCTAAAGATGGAAAGGACGAGGACCACATCAACGGTAGGCATTGCTTCTCTCAAAGGCTCAGGGCCCGTGATGTGGGCGTTTCAATGAACATCTTTGTTCTGCTTGCAGAGGCTTTGAAGGCTATCGATGACGGGGCATGCGATTCGTTGACAAGAAAGCGGGTCCGGGAAAAAAATGCCAAGCCTGGTGCCTTGTGGCACATCTACAATGCTAGGGATGCTGACAAGATCAGAGACCTCCTGAATAAGGTCAGTCGTGGAACGTGCACAGAGTCACGGTATTAGAATACTGAAGGTAACGCTGTGCCTCTGCAGGAGAGCCGTCGTGTCGAAGATTGGCACATGATTCTTTCCTCTGCCACCAATACTAATACTAATACCTCCAATACTAAGGCCCACCTTTCGGGGGACGAATAGTGATAAACCGTGGAAGTGATAACCGCAGAAAATTCTGTGCTGTTTTCTTCATTTATTATTTTCTGATGTTTTCCATAATAAAAGGACCTCTTGAAGGCACAGCGTCAAGCAATCCTCCGCAGCCTAACTTTGTCTGCGAGAGACATTTTAAATCTAGGTTCGTTAGTCGAGGTTCATGGAAAGCAGTCTACAAGGACCATATCCTTTTAAAGGGAACTCCGCCGATTTTCCGGTAGACTTTGAATTGGCTGGAAATTCAGAGATCGCATCAGTAACCCTTTCTCAACTGATAACCAAAATAGTTTATAAAAATTAATTTTTTCCGTGTAGTTATTGAATTTTCAAGTTACGCCGGCCGCGAGGGTTCCAGGAGGCGACTCTCTACTGGCAACTATGAAAAATCCCTACTTTTCTCTGCCCGCGTATGTTTCGGGTGGGCAGGTGGACGAGTGACTCAGGCAGCTGCGAAGTGGCTTTCCGGGCGGTTGAAAGTTCCTTTGCAGTGGATAGCAATCTGTGCTCTGCGATAGATTGTAGGAACAGTGCCAGGAAAAAGCTTCTTTTTTACCCTTGTTTTCGTGGGAGAAAAAAAAAAATGCGTTCCCCGCCAGCAATGGAAGCCAGCCACGTCAAGGTGCTTTTGCGCAAGCTGTGTGCCGAGAAAACTAGTGTCACGTGAAACGTTTGCACTTATGCTCGGAATACTTTCTAGTCGCGTGCTGCGAGTTGAGTATCCTTCAGCAGCTGGAACAGCTTCAAGAGCGGCAAGCGCTAACTCAAGCCGGCTGTGACCACTTTGACATCCATTCAAGAAGGGCGCTAATAATAGTGAGAAAAATAGTACACAATCTAGCACTAGAGTTGACATTTTGCACAGTCACATTTGTTATTCACAACTAATTCAGTGATTTCTTTTTTTAATTTTTTATAAACGCTATATCTGTTTCGGACGTCGAATCTGAGTTCCACTCGCACGGCCGATATGTTGAAGACGAGAAGTGAAACGTCGAAACAAAGTTCAAGTCTGAATTTGGACATGACTTTCGACATATTGCTATTCCTGTCTGCTACTACAGAGGTTTATGGAGCAGGTGTTGAGCTCCATTAATATACAATAGAGCATCTGCCTGGTTTGTTAAAGGGTTGGCATGCAATATATGCAACATGCAATATATAGAGCTGAAAAGTATTTTTTTAAAACCATAAAAACATGGAGGCATGCAAGTTTACAGCTTATGCAAACTGTGCTAAACCAAACTTCATTAAAAAAAAAAAATCTTATATAGATTTACCCCCTTCCCGTGTGCTCTCGTGAATGGGTGTTTGAATGGTTTGAATGCGTTGCATTCTACCCAAAAAGTAAAAAAAAGTAAAAAATATGGGTACACATTTTTTTGTAACTCTTGCTAACTTATATTGAATTAAACTTATATTGAATTAATTGTTTTATGATGTCTTTTTGTACCTTACGCACTATTGTATCTTCTAGCAAGTATTTTTTATTTGAAGATGAATTGTGTATTTTATACGCATTCCATTGCACCTTGATGTTTGGCTTGGTGGTTGTGGAGTTCTTCTAATTGTCTTTTTAACACAATATTCATGACCAGTAACCTGCCATCTGATCTACACGAATGCAGTTCATTCCACTCTATACATTTCATTGTTTACGAGAATCACAGTCTACATGTGTTAGGTCCCAACCCAGCACGCACATGTTCGTCGCTTTGGAAGGCAAGCAAAGTATGCGCCACGTGCACAAACGCTGAAAATGGCATCAACCAGAAGCGCTTTTCAGAAATGGTCTATGGATCTTTTGCTAAATTACTTAAGCACCAAGGGGCATATTCATGCCACTAGAGTAGTACACATGCTGGCATCTGTAACAGTAACTTTTCTAAAGAAAATATAAAACAAATGGCACTTTCCTTCAGGTTATACAAGCGTGTGGGGCACCTGTACTCACATTCCGAGCATTTTCCATGGTGCTTTGGCAATTTGTCGAAAAATGTATTGTGTGACTCTTCGTCCTGTCTTCGGCAGCCATCTTCTAATAAGAAAAGCACGGATTTACTAGCTACTTCGTGAAACTAGTGAACCGCGGCTTGAGCGTACCGAGTTGCAAAAACGGTTTTATCAAAATTCCAATTGTTTCTTTTTTTTTACTTTTTCATAGTTTAGCACATAGGCCAAGGTCATACTTTGTGCAGATATAGATTATTATCAACTTCAAATAGCACGAACGCCCAGGTTTTCTCGCTGTTAGACGCAAAAAAGGCGGGCGCGAGCGTACCCGATTGCCGGCCGCGCGCCTCACTGCCCACCGGTGACGTCACGCTTGGGTGGCGGGGAAAGCTGGGGAGACCGATGTTTCAGTTTCGGACGAAATATTACTTTTTTTTAATTAACTAGAGTGAATCTGGGAGAACGAGAGATAGCATTTCGGAATCAGGAAGCCACCCACATTCATATGATGCCTTTGGATTAGGTAGCTTGAAAAATCGGTGGAGTTCCCCTTTAAGTGCTGTGGAAAGCTGCTCTTGCAAGAGATTTAGTGCCATCAAAGTTTGCAAGCTTCCCCAGCTTGAACGAATGAAAAAAAAAAAAAATTTGTCTCCGGTTTTTTTTTTTTATGGTGTTCTAAATGAGAACACCTTTGCTCATGTCTGTCCACAACTGCAGTCTGTTGCACACATTACAAACCGCATTAAATTATTTGTCCATTGACTGGCACTTGAACTGCTGGTCGGCTGCTGTGTTACGGCAACTGGCTTCCTGTCGCTGCTGGAATGGGTGGGCCTGCTGCTCTCGTTTTACAGCAGTGTCACCGCATCTCTTGTTTCTCCCTCCTTCACCCTGTTGCGCTTGCCATTGCACTCCGCTGCCTTGCTCTTACAAAAAACTTGCCAAGCGCAAACTGAAGGAAGTCTCCAATCTAAGAGTAGTCGCCGGCTGCTCACTCCACTCCCTACTCTGCGCATGAGAATGTGGAAACCGGAAGAAACTCTAGTTCACCTGAGCTTACTGTGCAGAGTCCATATTCCAAATAAGGTTTCTGAGCTCCACCATTGTGCTGCTTACATGGTCTGCCATGTTGTCTAGGTTGGAGTGGTTCAGGACTACGCTTTCAGACGTACAGGAAAGTTCCAGAGAACTTGATCTTGAACTGCAGTGTGCCGATCTGCTCAGCAGCTTTGGCTTTGCCATTTGTTTAACATTGTGCATTTGTGCCATTAAACTCGTAATCAACAACAACTCTGTGCATGACACATTTGGCTTGTTACAATCCAGGTGGCTGTGGAGAGAGGTGAGAAGTTGGAACCCCACCACGACCCCATTCATGACCAGAGCTGGTATTTGGATCAAGAGCTCCGGGAGCGCCTGTTTCGAGAATATGCTGTGGAAGGCTATGCCATTGCCCAGTGCCTCGGAGAAGCGGTGTTCATTCCAGCTGGTGCTCCCCATCAGGTGACTGTTGCTCCCCTATTATTCGGCCTTCGTTCATCAAGTTGTACCATCCTATGTCGGTGCACACGAGGGGCATCCAATAATTTCTCCACTTCAGTAGAAAAAAAAACAGTAAAAAAAGTTGTATTCTTTTCTAATATCTAGTTTTCTGATAACTCTATACACTTCTTCCACTTTTCCTGCAATGACCTTAACCCCTTAAAAAAAAAAGGTTTCTGTTTGACCTTCAAATCATCATGTCGCAGCTGCCTTGACGTCATCATCAATGGAAAACCATTGTCTACGTAGAAATTTCTTGAAAACTCGTGAACAGGAAATGATTCGAGGGAACCAGATCAGGCCTCTAGGATGTGATGATAACACAATTAATGCAAAGGTGCAAGCAAGCTGGACGAGAATTACTATAATAATCCCTGTAGAAGGGGAACAGGAGGACAAAGGACAAACACAAATCTCCAAACACAGCTATACCCTTTTTCACCTCAAGAACCGTAGTATAAAAAGTCCAGCTCATCGCGGAGCATTACAAATTTCCCCCTTTATGTTCATAATTAAGATATATGTAAATGACTTTTAGGTTAGATATATGTTACCTTATCAAGACGCACACGTTACAAACGCCAAAAGCATCGCTTTTTCCTCCAACAACCAAATCTCGTAAAAACTACTTCGCGTCACGATGAACAATGCGCGAAACTTGCTTTTTTCTTGAGGTGAGAACGGGTATAGGTGACTGGTGCGCGACCGAAAAATTATGCCTGGTATCAAACCAGGGACCTCACCATTTCCAGTGGAGCACTCTACCATCTGAGCAAACCAGGAGTCAGATGTCAGTAGACCAAATGGGTTTTGACCAAATGGGTGTCTAACACCAACAAGGCTGAACAGCCTGCATTTAAGGTTATAATGGTGATGCAGTTAATGCAAGGTGCAAGCGAGCTGGACAAGAATGACGAAAATAATCCCCGGGAAAGGAATTTTTGTCCTGAACATGCTTGGGGTGGGCGATGACTTGTACTTTCACTGCATTAACTCCATTTTAGAATCAGCATCTGCGAGGTGATGGACCCGAGCCTCATCTCCAATCACCAAACAAAAAAACACTTTTACAGGTTGCACAGTGGTAGTGACTATTTCGACGTCTACTTTCAAAATAATTTTCAGTATTATTTTGATGTCTGTGACGCCACCTCCTGAAGCCGTGAAAATAATGAAAAAAACATTTTGACGTCCCCTGTCAGAATACCATTATTTTCACGTCTCAAACTTACAACTTTGGAGCTTGCGTGTCCGGTCTGGGGAGCGATCGAAAGTGGCGGCAAGAAAAAACAAAAAACAAAACCTTGCTTGCAGGCAGCATCGGGGTTCGACACATATTTTCCGAAAACAAATGTCATGCAGTTGGCTGCTGCTGTTTTTTATGAACTTTTAAATAATGTAGAATGCAAAAAAAAAAAAAAACACTTCTCAAAGTACTTCAGCTATCAGGAGCCGCACGTAATGTTTGCTTGGTTGTGCCCAACATTACAAAATGCTGCACCGCTGTCTTTCATGATTTATTTCACATGTTTAATATGCTAGACGAAGGATTTATATCGTAACATTTGAATTTGATTGGAAAATGCGTGTATATCTTACAACCGTGCCAGAACCTTTGTTTGTTGGCACCGGTCAAGAAACATCAAGGAGGCAATGTTTGCATTCACGACCTTTTATTTAACATCCCAATCGTTTCATAGTTAACCTAGTTAACCGGCTCATTATACACAAACCAAACAGAAAATCTAAATTATACAACAAACTCGCGAAACCCGGTTAAAAACAGGGTGGGTGCCAGATGCAAAGCAAGACTGCAACCATACGAAGACATGCTCGCGCGATATGGAGGCACAAAAAGTGTACTAAATTTCTCAGTGTTCCGTGGTGTACACATTTACATTATTTTACGGGCAGGTAAGACATTGGGATATCCAGCTTGCCTTTGTTGTAGATGAAAAATTTTAAGTGAGACACATGCTGAAATAACATGCGAGCTCAGAACATCGTTGCCGGGCATGTCAGGTCCGAAAGAATCAGCTGTCGAGCCAGTCCCACACACAAGCTGAATAAGACATTTCCACTGCCAACTAGGACTGAAACTTTTTAGGCACGCAGCACACGAATCCTTTGTACGGTGGTGGGGCATACTCAGCGTGAACTGCAGTCATGCATTCATGGGCTTCTTTTGGCTTTTTTTCCTTTTGTGAGAAAATTCTGCTCTAAATCTGGCATTTTCTTATTTGATTCACGTGAGGACTCTCCTGACATCCTGTCTTGTTAGGATGTTAGACTCTCACTGGGCTGTAACTGTGCATGAGCAGCCTTGAGACATGTCTCAACATGCCAGGTTTGTTTGAACATGCTTGCTACTTTCTTTCATACTTGGATACATTGATTATTAAACACGACTCCTACATGTCAGTACATATATATTTAGCCTATGATAGGTGAAAGTTTGTGGGCAGAACATGCCCTTGTGCAACCTATTTGCCTTGAGATTCGCTTCCCAAAGGGATGATCTCCTCCGGCGTCCTTCGTTTTCTTGACCCGATTCCAACGGGAGTCGGACCACGTTGGCTGTAGGCACCATGCGTAGCGTCGGGAACGTGGACGCTGCTCCCTGACCGCGTCGGCACGTTGCCATCGGAAGCGGCACTCTGCCCTCCACCACCTTTTTTGGTCTTTCGTTTGCCCAGTTTGCCATTGCCTCGGTGGAATACGGAATGCAAAGGTCTCCTTTGTGCCTCTGTGAAGGCTTGCATGCTTAGACACCTCTGCCTTTGTAATAAGTGTGGGCAACTGCTGATACACTTTGAATAATCTGGTTGAAATGCATTTTTTTCGGTCGGGACCGCGTTGAAACTTGCAATATAGAAATAATTAAAATAAAGCAGTGTGGTTGTAACGAAGGGCTACATATTTGCAAGGTGAAATTACACACTGTTTACAAGAAATGGTCGCTTAAACATTGCCAGAGTCATTCCAAGCCTACAGTTGCCGACCAATCTTTTGGACTCTTGAGGGGACCCCGAATTTGTCCGAACAATCAAGCGGTCCGAAAAATTTACTTCAACCAAAATATCAAATTGCTGCGCATATTCCGCTGCGTATTGGCCACTTTCCACTTGCCTGATGTCAATTTTAAGTTCTCGTGCACTTGTTTGTTGATCTGTTTGATCACGGTGCTGCACTTTGTCGGCGCCTTCGTTGACACGAACAGCGAAGTTGGAAGTCAGTGCCATTTGCCACTATTTGTAGACAATGTTTAGTCCACCCAGCTCGATTCAATACTAAGCTTATCGCCAAAAAACCTTCGTGCTCAAAGACTACAAAAGCGGCAGATGGCCGCTCTTCTTACGGTCTCATTCGAAAAACGCTGACCATGAGAAGAACTGGAAGAGGCATAAGAATGGGCATACAGTGGCCATGTTGGCTATAGTGGAACCGGAAAACCCGACAATAGCCTCAGCCCAGCTTGTTTATTGCGTAAAACGTGATATTGAGGCTACAGGACAAAATCAAAACAACCAAAATGGCGGTGACTAAGCTTGCGGCGCTATCGCAGCTGCTGTTTTGTGGCTGTAAACTGAGGAAATCACACAAATTATGTCCGAAATATTGAACAATAAGCTTTATGGCATCCGAAATTTTGGTGAATGTTATACATAAACTCTGGGGTGAGTGACGGTTTGGTGAAAACGTCCGAATAATCGGACGTGTCAGAACAATTGGTCGGCGACTGTATGTGGAAAGAATGATGCATACAAAAATGAGATTGATGCGCAGTTGGGAAGTGCAACACAGTCATCACTGAAATGCAAACATGTGAGCTCAACTGGGAGATCCCTGTGGCTGCATAGTTCACGCGAAAAAAGGGAAGTAAAAACTGTAGTGATCTTGGGTGTTTTGGTCTTAAGTTCAAGCTGGCCCTATCCTAGTATATCGTGCACCAACTAGCTCAACTCAAGTACATTACTTTGACCATTGGGTGTTTTGGAGCTTATGACACGAAACACATTACTGCTGCTACTGGCTTTGTATCTGTTGCAGAGTTAAGCGATGTTTGCTATTTCACATCAGAGATTTCCGTTTTTTTAACATGGTGTAGTGGAGGTACGCCGATGCTGATTTTTCTCGAAGGCAAAATGAATTCTAGTGAGTTCTGTATTTCTTTGGGAGTTTGGCTTGCCTTTCTAAATATAAACACCCCAAGGAATGCTTATGAAACAGATGAGTGTTGTAAGCTCGGGCTTAGTGTTGTGCCTTACTCTTTAATTGCTTTCAGGTGCGGAACTTGCACAGTTGCATCAAGGTGGCCGAAGACTTTGTCTCCCCCGAAAACATTGCTCACTGCTTCAGCCTAACAAATGAGTTCCGGCAGCTGTCCGACACCCACACGAACCATGAGGACAAACTGCAGGTGAGCTGCCTAGGGTTGGTTGTGTAGAAACTGTCAAGGGCACCTTCTGACTTTTCTCTTCTTCTTTCTACCCTGTAGATCAAGAATGTGATCTACCATGCTGTGAAAGACGCCTTGGTGATTCTCCGGGCAAATTCTTCTTCTAACCTCAGCAAGAAATGAAGAGTGTGTGCCATAGGCAGAGGAACCCCCAGATGTGTTAATCCCTCAAGTGATCTTTGGCCTGCGCTGCCTTGGACGCATATGGCAGGTTCTTGGCTTGCCCACCGATTGTGTTTTGCGCCATCTCTCACTTCTAGTTTTTTGTGTATTTGTGAATGGACTTTTTTGCTTTTTTTTTTAATCGGTGCATGTATGGAAGGATCCATTGTGTGTTTTGAGGTGTCTTGTATTATAAGCAATTGATTTTGAGTTGTTGCTAGCTGCAGAGACTTGCTTCCCTTCCTGTTACTTGATCTGGGGCCAGCTGTACACGGTGTTTTGTAAATGGAATTGGATCAAACGTCTGTGTGCCGACAGCTGTTATTTATGTTGTAGTCTGATTGAGACACTCCTGCCCCGGTAAGTGCTGCATTTTTCAGGACTGCGTGCTTCAAGTATGATTACAATAAACAAAGCAGGCGAAATGGTCACTGTTGCCATGTAAAATAATAGTGTTGTACTTATATACATAAATATATATATATATATTTACCTATAAATATATATATATACATGATATAGCTGTGAGTAGTCAGCTTGCGATTTGCTGTCGTTCCTTTTCCATTGTTTTTCACAATCACCATCTCATCGGTATAGTCAACCGTTTCAAATTCCATTGATTAACATTATCTTTAGAACTCAAGGTAGCATTGAGTTTGTACTTGTACATATTTCATAGCAATATTTTTATATTGAAAATGTCATTGCCTGTAAAACCAGTCTATATAAAAATTCACTGTTTTTATTTGAAAGTGTATGGCTGATGTTAATGGTTCTTATTAAAGTGTTCATTTGAAAGCCTGCTTCCAAGTGTCTCAAAGTGCCATTTATCAAATATACTGGAATCTTGACACCTTGCAATTCTCAAACATTCATCCAGGTTTTGAAACTGAATTTCTTTTACAAGGTGCCCTGTAGCCTCCACCAGCCTCATTAAAGGTGAAACGACAGCCGTGAGCCGTGTCTTGTTTAGGTTCAATGGATTAATCGAATGCAGGAGAGAAAAGGATTATTGCTCACAAATGGAGGGAAACTTCTAATCACTGTTGCCCCTTTATAACAATTAAAAGGTACAGGGGCTGCAGGCAATGTTTGCAGAACTAAATGGTTGACCTGCTTGCGCAGGTGCCATTTGGCTCGGGAGATTCGGTTGTTTGACCTTTGCATTGTCTCCCACGTTTTTCTTTTGATATGCAATTCGCGTGTGCCCCTTCCACTCCTGCGATAATAAAAATCTCAATATTAAATTTAAAACAAAAAACAAAAAAAAACGCCATACAAATCTTTAGCGATAGTAGCATAAATATTTCTTTAGCACATGCGCCATAAATTTTTTGCGCTCGTACACGTATAGAAATAAGGGAAGCCTGGCGGTTTGTTGAATTTGTAAGTCTGCTGCTTTCCTGAAGTATATATAGCACTTGGGCTTGTATATATATCAATGCAATGATTTCAAAATTTCGCATTCGTCATTCGTGCCAAGGTGAGTCAAAAGTAAGAATGGTCCCCCCCCCCCCCCCCCCCCAAAAAGAAAAAAAAGTTTCGCTATCAAGATTGCAACGGAGTCGGTTATTGACGACCCTACCTGCTGTCCCTTCGTACTCAGTTGCACGTGGCGTGGACAAACTGTGTGAATGTCCCAGCTTGGTTTTCCTAGCCTGGTGCATCGCCAACCAGCTGGGGCCTCCATTACCTTCAACCACCGTAGATCTTCCAGACTTCAGATATTTGGATACTGCAACATGTAGGTAGCCAACCATTCCATATGTTTTCTGCCAACTATGAGACCTTGGGGTGGTAAGAATGAGTTTTGGTTCAGGGCTGACCAGTCCAGTGTAAAGAAAAAAAAAACTTTTTTATAAAGTGAAATTTGACTTATTACAATAGGATTTATTGCAGTGAAATCGGATTTATATAATTAAACTCAAATTGTGATTTTTTTTTTTTTTTTTTGTCTAGATAATGAACTGATGAAGTGGGTTTTTGAATATTCATAGCTGAAGTAAGACTCGTGAAATTTAACAGAAATGTTATCAATAAACGATCGACATAAACAGGATTGTACGAGTATTAGGATCTTCGAATAGTTTGGAATACACTTCGATATTCGCTTCGAGATTAACAGCGGTATCAGTATTTTTTCAGTGGATCGCGGCGCGTTCGCTCCGTCATGCGCGCTTCTTGCTGAGCTCGTGTGCACTGCGGAGAAGCAACGCTCGCGGAGCTCGCTTCCGCGGATGTTGCTCCTCCGCAATGCAACGATGTTCGCTAAGAAAGTAAAGTACAAATACAGTCGAACCCGGATATATTGAGTTGAAAGGGGATCGTAAAATAATTTGATATGTCGATAAACAAAAGTATGCTAAGTTCAGCTGTGGATAAAATATCCACGCGTCTGCTAATACTGAAGATCGTGACAAATGGGAGCTTAACAAGTAGCATCCAGGAGCCACTAAATGCAGTAGAGGGCCCTTCCTTGAAGTCTAGATATTGGTGGCATCCGAGTACTTTAACGCATATGGACGCTGTGCCGGATGACAGTTTGTCCAGAGTGATTTCGTGATCGCGACGACAAGGTTTCGCATGGTTATTCTTTTGGGCGTGTCGCCAGACGCCAATTATGTCTTGCTCGTCAATGGTTTCTCATAATGTGGGTGTTCCACTTCTATGACAACCATGCGGGCCCCGCCGGTTTCATCTGGCCTGGAATTACGAATTTGAGCACTGATTACAATGTATGAAGTCTTTAGTTTAATAACTGACTCCACACAGTGGCAACCCTTGTCTTTTGCTGCGTGCCCTAAAAAAAAAAAAAATGCAATTGGAGAATTTTTTTTTTTTTTTTATTTATTTAAAGTGAGAAGACGTTATAGTCTCTGACGGTTCAAGAACAAAGTGGAAGCTTCTCTGCCTCTTTCAACTTTAGCAGAAAGAACGCTGCTAAGTAGAAAGGCGTGAAGGAGCTTCCACTTCGTTTAAACATGCGTGGTTGCTGCTATTGACTATCAACATCAGACGCTGAACTGGTAGGAATTTCAGCAGATAAAGTGAACAAAATAATATGACTACATATTGCAAGGGTACCACAGAGGCTTAACGGCTAGCTTTGACTAAGATAAAATAAGCAAAATAAAAATAATAACGTGACCAAGATGCAGAGGCGTTTGCTTGTATTTACGTAAAATAAAGTGGGACAATAAAGTAAGAGGCATGTGTTTTTGCTGAAGAAATAACCAGTATATTCAAATTGGTTACTTGAAAAAACAGCAAAGCTCTAGAGCTCGAGCGGTTTCTAGAGAATGCAGTCAAACCGTCCGGAACCGAAAAAGGCGAAGAGACTATGAATAATGAACTCAAAATAAAGGTTTAATCGACGAACTTTGGCCAGAGACATTTATGTTGTGATAAGCACGAGAAGAAAAAGAATAAACGTTTAAGATAACTGTTAATTATTTTTAGTGGGGTACGTTCTAAAATATATTGAAAAAAAAAAAAACATCTGGGAGTTTGACCATGTTTTCCATCGAGATGTGAAATGATTTACCTAATAATCAAGAGAATATTAACTAAAATCAATGTCGCAAATTAATATTTTCTTGAATTCAAAGATGAAAAGCCTTCGAGAAAATGACCCCAAAGGCATACCGCGACGCCAAGAGGCATCTTGGGAGCACATTTAGTCAAAGCAAAAGGCAGCCATTCCAGCAGAAGAAGCGTCAGAATGAGAAAACTTCAAGGAGAGAAAAAGGGAGGCATATGAAATAATACAGGCCAAAATTGGGAGTGCAGGAGTACAGCGGATGATGGAGATAAATAAAAAAAAAAAAAGATAGAAATGAGGCATTTTTGTCATTAGATTGGTGAAACAACAGCATATCTATTGTCACGCCCCGACAATAAGCAGGTGGAATGGCGAATACTTGTGAAGAAGACACTCCTTCAAGAAAAGTCAGCCCTTTCATTTTGGGAAATGTGTTATGGTTTTTATTTGTGTAATTAGATTGGCGAGAAAACCACACATCTAATGACACGCCACGACAATAAACAAGTGGAATGGCGAATACCTGTGGAGAAGACGCTCCTTCAAAAAAAAAGTCAGCCCTTTCATTCTTTATACTAAATTCTCAAAACTAAAATATATAAGAAACGCCAAAAATTAAGATTGCCGGCTTGATCCTGGGAACAAGATAAGCGAAGGCAGCGTTATCCCATGGCGCTTTTTGTCAAATCACGAACGGAGCTATACACGAATTTCAAAGAAAAGAAAGCACTTGAAGTTGCGTTCGAGCAAGGAACATTTATCAGACCTTGTGACGCCTGACACGTCATCGAAACTTAACAGATTTTATGACATAAATAAGCGTGAAGCTGTGGTCCTTGTATTACCCGGTGTTGTCTATATTAATAACCTGAACGCATTAAAATATTATCGAAGTGTTTGCATGTCAACCAGACTTTGTGATATATTATCAGAGTCGAACCGGAACCAAACCATTATTTTTAGATGAACCGGAACAGAACCGAAATCTTCGGCGCCATCTTGGAACTGAACCGGTAAAAAATATAACGGTAACCGGTTCAAAACGGTTCATGGTATTTTTTGTTTTTCTTTCCAAAATAAGCGCTTGGGAACTAAAAATTGTAAGCAGTATTTCTATGTAGTGATCCAATTGTCATATACCGAATTGCAATGTATGAGAAATTGTATTTTCGTGGCGTTTTTATTGGCAAAACGATTAATCATGTGTCACGTGGTCACGTGACGTCATGGTATCAAGAAATGCTGTCAAATGTCACGTCACGCGGCCTCGTGATGTCACGTGACTCACTGCATCAAGCCGACTTGAGAACGACACTATATTTATGAGCGTTGTCAAAACCATGACGTCACATGGCATCCCGACTTCTAACCGCCGACACCGTGACGTACTCGATTGTCATGAACCCGACTCGAGTGCTCGGGTTCTTGACAATCAGCATCGCCAAACATTCGTGTTGGCTCATGTTCAATCAAAGATGAGAATAGCCGAACTCTAACAATGTCTAAAGCTCAACCCATGCTTGGGGTTCTTTGCGAACCCTAGCGCATAACTGTGATGAACACTGGCGGTATATAATTAGCCACATAGCCGCTTGTTCTGATAGCAAGTGAGGAGGGGAAAGCTGTTTCTTTCTTTTAATTTTTCTACGTCTGCCATTGAGCGGGGAGGAAATCTAATGGGTGTTTCTTGAAGTTACCAACATCAGAGATTAGTTGTTATTGGTATTTACTGAAAGTACAAAAATCGTTGCACGACCCATGTTGCATATGCACTTTATTGAGGCCAGAGTGTCGAACCGAAATTTTTATCGGTTCGGTTCCAGTTCGGGTTTACAGCTTTCGGTTCGGTTCCGGTTCCGCTCCGGGGAGCAAAAAATAACCGTTGGAACCGGTTTGAACCGCTAAATTGAGAATATATTTTCCGCGTTGTTGAGACAATATACACTATTTACGCCGTGAAGCGATTAACTATATAGTTTCTTTTATCGTCCGTCCAATTAACTTTTGTTTTTATCAAAAATATGAAATTCAGTTATTTAATTTCGACGCAAGAGTAGACCGAATATCTACATTAACGCACATAACGTCGTGTTCATACGACTCAACATCCCTTTGTTTACTAGTCACATATATTTTACCTGAATCAAGATGAGCTTGTTGGTACATACCTGTAAATAGATCAGCTTGAAATTTAGAACTATACTGTCTTTTCCCATTTTTTTTTTCTAAGTTCACGTTGATCTATTTACACGGTATAAAATGT